CTCCAGGGTCACATATAGCCAGATTTGTGTGGAACTGACAGTATTTATGATCTAAAAATCAATAGAGTAATGGAAGATATCTGCATGAAAACAGGAGTATGTCTTAATTAGTAATAAAGTAATTGTGTACTGCTTAGTATATGGATTTAAAAAAATAGTATGAAGTAAAAATAGTATGCACTCAAATGCACAAGTAACAGTATTGTCAGTATTGACATTATAACGCTGTGTTAATTCAGTAATTTCTAATTATAGTAATTGCATTTTGTGTAAAACATTTTTCATTTTTAGTGTCAGTCTGATACAGTAAATGAGTTAAGAGAAAACAATTGGCTTCTGTTCGGTTCTTGGGTCATTCGTCGCATTTAAACTGAAAGGTGTTATTTTAATATCACTGATTTTTAATTTTTGTTAATATTTTGAATGAGTTTTTATTTATTTTAGTAAAAAAATTTTTTTTGTGTTTGTCATTTTTATTTGCTTTTAAAAAAAGATGTCTATGTAGTTTATTAATAAATTTAGTTTAACTAGTTTAAGTTAAACTAAACAAAAATGAAGTAAATAAGCTGAAAATAAGTAAGTTTAAGTTGTTTTAATATTTTATTATCCTTCAGTTAACGCAAGTGTTATGTTTTGGTTTTACTATTATTTTATTAATATTTAGAATTTTTTATTTTTATATTTCCTGTTTTTGTTGTCATTTAAAAAAAATTTTTTTTTCTAATATGTATTTTTTTTTTTCAAATTAGTTTCAGTTTTAGTTATTTTAGTAAGTTAAACTAACTAAAAATTAGAAATGTTGGCAACTAGCTGAAATAAAATGTTTATTCATGTTATTCCAGTTAACGTTTATTTTAAGTAACAAATGTTTTTTAAATATTTTTTTATATTTTAATTTTAACTTGTATTAACAAGTGACAAAATAAAATATCTACACAAATTAAAAAAAAATAGTTACTTAAAATAAAATAGTCAATGTTTATTTTATTTCGAGTAACAACTATTTTTTTATAAGGTACAATAATAACCTGGGTCAAGTAGAGTGCATTGCATTGTGGGATACAGTATCATATACTGCACACATTATGGGAGATGACTCTAAAGTTGCTAAAAGAAAGCATGCTTGTGTTGATCACAGATCTCTGTGTCTCTCTCAGACAGTTGTGTGGAGTGTGTGCGGTTGTGTGTTTGTGTAACGGCTGCCGCAGTGATTTTCCCGTTACTGACGTGGGCAGGATACAAGCTCCTCCCCTTCGAAGCCCCGCCCCTCGACAGCTCCGCCCTCCGGCTGATCTACACACTGCGCTGTGCGTTCTTCGCCAGCATTCCCATCGTGCTCGGTGAGCAAATATGCACGCTCTCATTTTAATCTAGAAAGCATTTTATATATACAAAAACAGGTTGACATTTTAGAAAGCGTCTAAAAGAGTCTCTTCTGCTCACCAAGGCTGCATTTATTTGATCAAAAATACAGTAAAAATGGTAGTAAAATAGTAAAATATTTTTACAATATAAAACGGCTGTTTTCTATGTGAATATATGTTAGAATGTAATTTATTTCTGTGATGCGCAGCAGTATTTTCAGCATCATTACTCCAGTCTTCAGTGTCACGTGATCTTCAGAAATCAGTCTAATATGCTACTCGAGAAACATTTCTGATTATTATCAACAGTTGTGCAGCCCGATATGTTTGTGTAAACCGTGACACATTTTATTTTTTCATGTGGCCCCGCCCCCTACAGCTTCACCCCCAAAACAGAGGTGGTGGGGCTGAAAACCACGTCCGAATAATCAGTCTTTTACCACCGACGTCACATCCGTCCAGCCAGTCGATCAAAACAAAGACTGAATGAAAGACTCTCGCTCGCACTGAAAGGCAGAGATGATGAATGGGACGAAACTCAATATGCGTCATGAGACAAAACCAGTTTAACTGCTGCAAACGCTCGTGATTCGGTCTTTCAGCAAATCTGACCTCAGTAGTTACTCACTATGACCACACACACACACACACACTCTCACTCACACTCACTCGCTCACACACACACACTCACACTCACACACACTGTCTCTCACACACTCTCTCACACACTCACACTCACACTCTCTCTCACACTCACACTCACACTCTCTCTCACACTCTCTCACACACACACTCACTCTCACACACACACACACTCTCACTCACACTCACACTGTCACTCACACTCACACTCACACACACTGTCTCTCACACACTCACACACACTCTCACACACTCACACACACTCTC